AGTGGAGAAGCAGCTGGTGGAGGAAAAGCAGCCGGAGGAACCCCAAAACGGCGCCGGTGCCGCCGAGGAAGACCCCGAAAGGTTCGAGAGAGGGGAATATCCCAGCGCTGCCGGGTGGGTTACAGCACCCTGCCCGCCGGGGTGTTTTTTTTTGGGGGGGGGGGAAGGGGATTTTGAGCACTCTCCCCATCCCATCACAACAGGAGAGAAAGCGGATCGATCCTTGCTTTGCCCTCAGGATCTTTGTTGCGGATTTAAAGGTGTTTTGCGGTGGTTGGTCGCGGTGGTTATTTGCTTCTCGTCTACCCGTAACCACCCGGCTGGGGAAATTTGGGTGAGAAACAGCGCGGCTCCTGCGATCGATCCTTGCTTTGCCCTCAGGATCTTTGTTGCGGATTTAAAGGTGTTTTGCGGTGGTTGGTCGCGGTGGTTATTTGCTTCTCGTCTACCCGTAACCACCCGGCTGGGGAAATTTGGGTGAGAAACAGCGCGGCTCCTGCTTTAATCTTAATTCAAAGGCGATTTTTCCCACCTTTTTCCCCACTTCTACTCCTCCGCCTGCCGCCTTAATTCCCCTCTCCGCCGTTCTGCTGGGGAAAGCACGGGGGGAAAAGCAGCAACCTGTTTATTTTTGAGCACGGCAGCGTGGTTTATTCAACCATTTTGGGGCTCTGTTACTCATTTCCGATGCCCTTTTACCGCGGGGCGACCGCTTGTTTGCGCTCAGAGCCCCACGCCGGGTCTCGGAGGACGGACTCGAGGCCCTTCGACGCCAGCCCTTATCTCCCCCGTGCACATTTCCCCCCCCCCCAAAAAATCGACGCCAGCTCCCCCGTGCACATTTCCCATTTCCCCGATTTCTCCGGCCGCGAGAGGAGTTGGACTCGGCTTATCTCAATTTTAAGGATTTTTCTCACTCAAATAAACCTTGTCGGATTTGATTGCCCGAGAAAATGAATGGTGGAGGCAGAGGTGGATTTAAGGTGGATTCATCCCTGAGCCAGCACAAGGAATGGGGATTTTGGGGGATAATCGTATCTACAAGGTAGGTGGGTCCATCCCAACGTGCTCTTCATGTTCCCTTCGTAGCCGTCGGGGAATTAATAGCTTTAATCCATCTCATTTATGGAGATGGAATTTATGGAGAATCCATCTTCCTTTACGATCTTCCCCGCAATGAACCAAGCTCCTTTGCAACTGCCGGAGAAAAAAATCCGGCGTCTTCTTTCAAGTATTTTGATTAAATGCAGTGGTTGAACCCGTTTTCTGACGTAAAAAGGGGTGCGAAGCCCAGATGTGCCCATTTGTAGGAGAAGAACTTTATTTTATTCTTTCTTTCCCCCTTTCTGCGCCTCTAGCCGGGAGGGGAGGACGTCGCGGGCGCGATGGCTTTCTTCCTCAAACCGCGGCCGCGCACGTGGGATCTTGCCCTGGACTACCACACGGTAAAACAGTTTGAAGGTAACCAAAGGCAGCCGGAGAGGAGCAAAGCACCGATTCCTGATGTTTTCTGGGCTGCATCAAGTGAGATGTCCGTTGGAGTTGGAGATCCTCCAGCTCCACCTTCTATCTCCCTGGCTCCTCCATCTCCAGCATCTCTTGGCTCCTCCATCTCCAACCCTCGTCTCTTGGCTCCTCCATCTCTTGGCTCCTCCATCTCCAGCC